TTCCAACTTCCAAGCCATCATACTTTCTTCTGAAGGAATTATGCCTTCATGTATATTAAGAAAACAGGAGTCTGATTCATATGACATGCAATTCAAGTGAATTTATTACCTTATGCAGTGCTTAATTATCTTAGATATAGCACTATACTGCAACATGATTGGCTAATTTATACTCGTAAAATAGCACGTCAAAGAAGTGTATCTAAAAAAAATATAAATTGTGTTGTTAGTGAGCCTCAGCATCAGTGTTATGATGAAAGTCAGTATGACTTAAAATATGAAAATTTAGACTTCATTTAAAAGCAATCTACATGAAACTAGGCAATTAATGTTTTTACTTTCAAGAGTGAACGTTTTTCGTGGAATTGCACAGAAAGGTATTATGCACGCACGCACACAGTATTCTCGCAACGGCGAGTGGTGGGATCGGCTAGTTCTACATCAGTTTTTGTGAAAGCAAAATGATATACAGTGACACAACAGTAGCAGTGTGATAAAGGGGTAGTTTTTGTGAAGGTGCATTCATATTATTTTCAGTTTTTAGCTCATCTGACGAAGTCAGATGCAGCTTGTAGAATCGCATGAGCATCCGGTTCGTCTGTGCGTCCGTCCGTCCGTCAACAGTTGGGGACAAATCTTAACCGCTCGACGTACGGTCTTGATATTTGGGACGTCGGGGGGGGGGGATCGTGAAAAGGACTCGGGATGACCAATGTGGTGGTCAAGGGTCAAATGTCAAGATGTGTAAATGGAGGGGGAATATTTTCCCTTAACTTAAGGTATAGGAGGAAATACGGAATTGTGGCACAAATATGAACGGCTCACCCTATGCTCTTAATATTTGGTGTATAGTATGATGGGCAGGAAACCCATCACCAGTGCGAAATTGGAGGTCACAGGTCAAAGGGCAGTGGGGAAAGGTCAGATATCACACATTTTCTGAGGACATGGTCTAACAGACCCAGTGAAAACCTGGTTGTTTCAGTGCTGACCTACTATTTTTATCACTTTATTGAAAGGACCATGGAATGTAAGTTCCACTGACGTTCGAAGAATAAGTGTCTGATAACCTTTTGACCCTCAAAGGGAAGATTAAACATGGATTTGTTGATTGTCAACAAAAGACTGAACTGCTTTTGCTATTGTGGATGTGAGGCTACAGTTGCACAGTTCAATTGCAAAGGCAAATGTTTGTTGAACAAGGTTTAGTCTCCTTAAGTTAAGTTTAAGTCATATTATTTTCTAAAGCAGTCTGTATTAGCACCCTGTGTAGCACCCTGTATTAGCACACTGTAATAGCACCCCGAATGCTGGCGTGGGTAGGCAAAAACACGGGGCAGCCCATTACGCATGCATGGGGTAAACTGGCACTATTCTAATCATAATTATTGCCTGGCAACCTGCAATGCAGATGTGTTAACTCACAGCTGAGCGAAATTCTCACCTGCCTGAATATACTTGGATTTTAGCCGGTAGGATTTCAGCAACTCAATGGAGTGAGGTTATCACGCACGAAGGGCGATGCCATCTTTGATTATTGATGACACTTGCACGCGCCATCTCGCGGCAACTGCTTTTGCTATTAGAGCCCTCTAACACCACCCTCCCGCCACCACCACCACTACACTCGCGCTCGACGCATATCCATGATAACATGTTAATATAGCGAAGTCATTAAAGTTACACAGCTGTATTTTTATTACTGTACTACCGGTATAGCAAAGCCTAGCTATCATCGATTTTAGATCTGTATTAGTAGTATCCTAGATATATGCTCTGAGCGTGAACGCGGTGGCGGGAGGACGCACTTGATTCGGTTGCCAGTGAGTTTATCAGAAGAATAATCAATCTTCGTCGAAAGTTTGGACGCCGCGCGGCGAAATTGGAATGTACATTTCAATCGATGACATAACTGATACAGTAGCGCGCCGCGTGGGTGTTATTTGTTTATAAACAATTTAGTCTGACTGACTCTCTCCCTCTCTCTCCTCTCGCCCGCTCTCTCTCTCTTTCTCTCTTTCGCCCCCTCTCTCTCTTCCCCTCTTTCTCTCCGCAATAAAAAAAATGTTTGCTGAAATGATGTGTACGCAACTGCATATCTGCATATCTGCGCCTAACATTAAGGTGTCACTACGCACGACTGAAATTTTGAGTTTATAACCGTAGCAACAGACATCAGATCCCTATGCAGCTCTTGTTAGTGACTCTGTCTAAAGTCCCTGCGGTACAACCAATATAGATGCAGCTTTATGTGCTAGCAATACTAGCCAAAAGCGGATAACACTGTCACATTAGCTTGATCATCTAAGCCTGATCATTTATTGCTTTCGACACGAGCCATCTTCAAAGGATCACTTTAAGTTAAGCTTCTTTGTTTCTGTCATTCCGTATTGGAATTCTCTCCCTTCCATTGTACATAGTTTATTGCAATTTTGAGGCTTTTTCTACTGCCATCTGCAGTGTTGATAAGCCTATTTGATCAACTTTGTCTCATTCCGTCTTCATTATAGTCTCTTGGACTTTTGAGGATTAATATATTCATGAGGTTTACACAATAATGTTGGCCAAAAACAGGAACAGGGGTACATCTAACTTTTGATACTAAATTATCAATTAACAACAGCAGCAACAGATCCTTGTAGTCGTAGATTTAATGTAGTATAGCTATCAAAGAGGAATAGTCATACCTATTTTACTAACCTTGTAAATATTAGTCCTAAAAGTTCGAAAGGGACTATTGAAGATGGAAAGAAACAAAGGTGATCAAATTGACAGATGAACACTGCAAATCGCAGTAGAAAAAGCCTCAAGTTTGCAAAGTTCTAACTAAAAAGGAAGGAATTGAATATGTATGAGAGTAATTCTGTAAGTTTTAGGTTAAGCCTTAACCCGGGTTAGCTTAACTCCGCGCGATGAGGGACGTGAAGACTCGTGTGGACGCGCGTGAAATCATTAACTAGAGCTAAGTGGTAGTTATCAGTAGACTGAATAGGCGGCAACACATGCAATGTTGACATCCGGGTTACTTCCTTTCCACGACTTTTCAAGATTCACAGATTTTCTCCTGCATATTTTTTTTACTTTTTGCGATATTTTCAATAATATACGGATTACGGCACGAAGAAATAACTGGGAAAAAGATGAGGTACAAGTTACTCGTTACATGCGTATACTTGCATACCGCAGTAAACCCCATCTCCCACTAGCTGCCGTTAGATTAACTCAGGTTAAGACAAACTCCGTGTGAACGATGCATGTTTCTGAACTCTGGTTAAGTGTTAACTCGGGTTAGCTTAACTCGGGTTAAGGTGACTCCATGTAGATAAAGCTTTAGCTCTCGCATATGCGCAGTAATGAAAGTATCGCGTACCTCCTTTTGAAATTGTCGAATTATAACATGAATATCGGGGGAAATACCAGTTGAAATGTGTGTGCCATGTGTGAGAGTACACTTGCAGCATGTAACAAGTTAGGTCAAGTGGGATAAAATAAGAATCTTTTAATTATAATTTTTTTTTTTTTTTTAACGCTACACAGGTTTTTCCGTAAAATAGGGCCAGGCTCCTATAATGTGAAACAGTCGTAGAGCCCCTGGCCTACCGCTGGCATTCGCCACCTTTGCAAAATGCGATAAATAAATGCCAGTGGCGATTTTATTACACTAAGTGGCGAATACAATTGATTGATGGTTGAACGATGAAATCGTCCGATTGCAGTGTTGTGTCGTATAATATTTGTGTACACCTGTATTCCCATATCTATCACCTGCTTATGCATTGCTTAGCACATAAGATAATAGGAGCAGTGGCTATAGTATTTCATTGGCTATAAATAACTTTGGTGGCTTAGTATTGGCTCAAACTTCAAAACATCCAAAGGGAGCCCTGGAGCCTGGTCAGGCTAGGGTGTTGGGTGCCCCTACCTCTTGTGTTGGGTCGAATTGAAAATGTTGATGGGCGGTAATTTTAACGGCCTTTATTTAAAAAAATGTGATGGGTTAATCACACAATTGTTTCAAAACACTAATTAAAGTATGCCAGATTTTAATTTGTTTTTGTATTGACAAAAACACTTATAAAATACAACGTTCTGTAGCAGTTTATTGGCACCTAGAAATTCTAGAATCCATGAAAATGTGTTATTTTATAACATATCCTTAAACGAAATTCAAGGCCATATTTCCTCTCAAACCCCCATCAGTACCAGTGGGGCTCCAATAGGACATAGGTGTCATGGTGCCCAACGACTGAGATATGAGGATTCTCACCATAATACTTGTGGGAAACGTCATCTTGCATAGGTGTGCAGTTGATGTCGGTGTGCTCATGTGGATTAATAAACTTAAATTCGGAGGAGATGGTCGAAATCATTGCAGATTTCTGTCGTATTCATATAGACTATATTGTTCATGTTCATGTTCTCAGTAAGAATGTCTAAAGCTGGGTTTACAACTTTTTGCTGAAAAGTTGATGAGCTTATCATTGTTTCAACTAATCGACTGAAAGTCAGCAGTGTGAAAGTAAAATTTGAGCACTCAACAAGCTGATAGCATCTACTTGAGAGATTAGAACATGGCCGGTTTTTTCAACTTCTGGCCTGCGAGTTGATCAAGTTCTTGCGACTCAGCCAATCTGATAATAACAATCAGGAGGTGTATCCCTCCACCCAGGGGGAGAGCGCATTTTTACTATCAGCGCCACACTGGCACGAATAAATACGTGCTAAAATGTGTATCCACCTTGCCCCACACGAACACTGCGGGTGAAGTGTTAAAATGTTTGCCTACTCGCAATTGATACCGTAAAAACTTCAGACATCTGATAGAAATGTTGATAGAACGTTGATAAACTAATCACCTCGTTGCCTTTTCCATAGTGTAAACCCAGCTTAAGCTGAAGGTAGTTGGGGATTAACGTTGATCTTTTTTCCCCGCAAGAAGTCGAACGACAGACGGGAGAACCTGCGCAGGGGAAGATACTGCTTAGTTTCCCACTCGTGTGATGGAGTCTTCCTACTTAGATGTACCGCCTGCAGAAGGAGAGAAATCGCACGTGTGTGATACGTGTGGACACAGATTCGCGCTACAAAAGCATCTGCGGACCCACACGCTCATTCACTCGGGAGAGAAACCCTATTTGTGTGATATGTGTGACTACAGATGCTCTCAGATGTGTGAGCTGAAGCGACACAAACGCACCCATACAGGAGAGAAACCCTACGTATGTAATATTTGTTCATATTCATGTTCTTGCTTGAGTGGTCTGAAGGTGCACTTTCGAACTCACTCAGGCGAAAAGCCCTATGCATGCGACACATGTGAGTACAAATGTACATCATCCTCTATTCTCCAGAGACACAAGCGAACTCACACAGGAGAGAAACCATACACGTGTGATATGTGTGACTACAGATGCTCTGAAGTGGCTAAACTCAAGCGACACAAACGCACCCATACAGGAGAGAAACCCTACGTGTGTGACATTTGTTTATATTCATGTTCTCGCTTGAGTAGTCTGAAGATGCACTTTCGAACTCATTCAGGTGAAAAGTCCTATGCATGTGACACATGTGAGTACAAATGTACATCATCCTCTAGTCTCCAGAGACACAAGCGAACTCACACAGGAGAGAAGCCCTATGCGTGTGATACGTGTGACTACAGATGCTCTGAAGTGGCTAAACTCAAGCGACACAAACGCATTCACACAGGAGAGAAACCCTACGTGTGTGACATTTGTTCATATTCATGTTCTCACTTGAGTGGTCTGAAGGTGCACTTTCGAACACACTCAGCTGAAAAGCCCTATGCATGTGACAAATGCGAGTACAAATGTACGTCATCCTCGGCTCTCCCTGCACACAAGCTAACTCACACAGGAGAGAAACCCTACAAGAGTGACACATGTGACTACAGGTGCACTCAACTATCCAATCTTAAGACACACAAGCGCACTCACACGGGAGAGAAACCCTATGCGTGTGATACATGTGACTACTGGTGCCGTCACCTATCCAGTCTTAAGACACACATACGAACTCACACAGGGGAGAAGCCCTATGCATGTGATACGTGTGATTATAGCTGCTCTCAAATGTCTTGCCTCAAGCAACACAAACGCACCCATGCAGACGAGAAACCGTATGTGTGACAGCGTGTGATATTTGTTCATATTCATATTCTCACTTGAGTCGTCTGAAGGTGCACTTTCGAACACACTCAGGAGAAAAGCCCTATACATGTGACAAATGCGAGTACAAATGTACGTCATCCAAATCTCTTAAGCAACAGAAGGGAATTCATACAGGAGAGAAACGCTATGCATGTGATACGTGTGACTACAGCTGCAGTCAACCAGCAAATCTCAAGACACACAAGCTAACTCACATGGGAGGAAAGCCCTAGACACGTGATAACACACTGCCAATGACATAGCTACTGCTTGCACGTGATATGTGTGGATACATTTGCTTTCCAGGATCGCTGCTATTCTCATGTTGTTTTACCCCCTCTCCCCATCTTTTATTTTCCCATTGCTGATCAGTTCTCAGAAGTGCTTAGTGCGCTATAGATGTATAGATATAACTGCCAGTTTTGTTTTTAACTTGCTGTGCCTTTAGGGAAGGCCAGCGCCCGTATATATTGCATAGTTGACAAAGGAATGCCGACTAGAGTATGGCTTGTAAGTCTAAAAAGGGAAGTGTCAAAAATCTGTGTGTGTGTGTGTGTGTGTATGTGTGTGTGTGTATGTGTCAAAGAAGTATGTACCTAAAAAAAATTTTAATTGTGTTTTTAGTGAGCCTCTGCATCAGTGTTATGATGAAAGTCAGTATGACTTAAAATATGAAAATTTAGACTTAATTTAAAAGCAATCTACATGAACCTAGGCAATTAATGTTTTTACTTGAGTGAACGTTTTTCGTGGAATTGCCCAGAAAGGTATTATGCACGCACGCACGCACGCATCATTCTCGCAATGGCGCGTGGTGGGAGCGGCTAGTTCTACATCAGTTTTTGTGAAAGCAAGTTGATATACAGTGACACAACAGTAGCAGTGTGATAAAGAGGCAGTTTTTGTGAATGTGCATTCATATTATTTTCAGTTTTTAGTGACTCTGTCTAAAGTCCCTGTGGTACAACCAATATAGATGCAGCTTTATGTGCTAGCAATACTAGCCAATAGCGGATAACACTGTCACATTAGCTTGATCATCTGAGCCTGATCATTCATTGCTTTCGACACGTGCCATCTTCAAAGGATAACTTTAAGTTTAGCTTCTTTGTTTCTGTCATTCCGTATTGGAATTCTCTCCCTTCGGCTGTAGTTTATTGCAAATTTGAGGCTTTTTCTACTGCCATCTGCAGTGTTGATAAGCCTATTTGTTCAACTTTGTCTCATTCCGTCTTCATTATAGTCTCTTGCGCTTTTGAGGATTAATATATTCATGAGGTTTACACAATAATGTTGGCCAAAAACAGGAACAGGGGTACATCTAAATTTAGATACCAAATTATTAATTAAGAACAGCAGCAACAGATCCTTGTAGTCATAGATTTAATGTAGTATAGATATTAAAGAGGAATAGTCATACCTATTTTAGTAACCTTGTAAATATTAGTCCTAAAAGTTCGAAAGGGACTATTGAAGATGGAAAGAAACAAAGGTGATCAAATTGACAGATCAACACTGCGAATCGCAGTAGAAAAAGCCTCAAGTTTGCAAATAACTAAAAAGGAAGAAAGAGAATAGGTATGAGAGTAATTCTGTAAGTTTTAGGTTAAGCCTTAACCCGGGTTAGCTTAACCCTGCGCGATGAGGGGGGTTAAGCTAACTACGTTAAGACTCGTGTAGACGCGCGTGAAATCATTAACTCGAGCTAAGTGGTAGTTATCAGTAGACTGAATAGGCGGCGACACATGCAATGTTGAGATCCGGGTTACTTCCTTTCCACGACTTTTCAAGATTCACAGATTTGCATATTTGTAACTTTTTGCGATATTTTCAATAATATACGGATCACGGCTCAAAGAAATAACTGGGAAAAAGATGAGGTACAAGTTACTCGTTACATGCGTATACTTGCATACCGCAGTAAACCCCGTCTCTCACTATCTGCCGTTAGATTAACTCAGGTTAAGACAAACTCCGCATAGACGATGCATGTTTCTGAACTCGGGTTAAGTGTTAACTCGGGTTAGCTTAACTCGGGTTACGGTGACTGTGTAGATGAGGCTTTAGCTCTCGCATATGTGCAGTAATGCAAGTATCGCGTTTGCCAAATTTAAAAAACGTACAGGTCTGCATTTGAAATTGTCGAATTATAACATGAATACTGGGGGAAATACCAGTTGAGATATGTGCCATGTGTGAGAGTACACTTGCAGCATGTAACAAGTTAGGTCAAATGTGATAAGAATCTTTTAATTATGAAATTCTTGGGGTTTATAAAGCTTCACAGGTTTTCCCCTAAAATAGGTGCAGGCTCCTATAATGTGAAACAGTCTGCAGAGTTGACCGCTGAGCATCTTCGTTCCCAGGACTTTTTCTATCGAAGTTGCACCATTGACCGGGGACTTCGCTTGTGGATATATATAGTGTTGAACCAAGCGCCGCTTTAGCACTTAAAATGAACGCGTTTATCGAACTACCTCTCCTTAGGAGTTCTCGTAAGAGTCAGTGTTTACGTTTCGTTAGTTATGTTATGTTCGGTTTAAATGCATTGCAATGTCACTGTTCTCATTCTGTTGCAGAATGGTTTCTACATTGTTGACATTAAAGCTGATTTGATCATCGAGAAGGTTGTTTCTTTACAGTCATAGAGCCTCTGGGCTACCGCTGGCATTCGCCACCTTCACAGAATGTGATGAATAAATGCCTGTGGCAGTTTTATTACACTAAGTGGCGAATACAATTGGCAAAGGATTTAGCTGCCCACTAAATTACGATTGGATAATGAAATATATGAGAAATGATATGATATGATTAAGAGTAAGATAATATAGGAGGAGTATGACACTCCAAAACACGTGAAATTCAACATTTGCTTGCCTAATTTTACCGATGATATATTGCATGCAACTCGATAAAAATTACATCTAAATTAGCGTTGGGCATCCACCGCCCACTCAAACTTTACTTTGTTTTCATACCTCTTCTTTTTATGGAGATATCGCTTTGAACGTCACACATGGTTTATAGCGTTTGACTTTGGTGGTGGTTTACGTTTGCCGTCACGTTCAAACAGTGGCCTGTTCAACAAAACCGTTCAAACAAACAGTTCAACAAAACCTATATTATCTTACTGCTGATATGATATATATAATATATGAATTGATGATAATGAAAATATTTTCGTCCACAATCTTTTCCCATATCTATGACGTGTTTATGCCTTACTAAGCACATATATGATAAAAGAAACAGTGATTATAGATTTTCATTGGTGTCTAAATAATAACTTAGGTGGCTCAAGTCTTGGCTCAATCATTCGAACATGCAGAGGGAGGCCTTGATCCTAGGCGGGCTAGGGTGCTGGGTGCCCCTACTCTTGTGTTGGGTAGAATTTACATGCAGGTATTGTGCAACCTAAATTCATCCAGATGAGACGGGATACTAGAGAAGCGTTGCCGAAAGGAGGTGTTAATCCGAAGTGCTGCGCAATCTTGCGCGCAGTTCGCGCAGGGTGTTAATTGTACACCTGTTTCAAAACACTAATTGAACTATGACATATTTTGTTTTCGTATTTACAAGATCACGTATGAAATAAAATGTTCTGTAGCAGTTTATTGGCACCTAGAATCCATGAACATGCGTTACTGTATCCCCCGCGATGAAGTCGGCGGGGATACTATGGTTTCATGTCTGTCCAGCCGCCGCCGCTGCCGCAGACACTCCCTACTGCTTTATAACTCGACCCTTAATTGACCTAGCGTGACCAAACTTGGTATACTTACACATCTTGGGGGGAAGATGTGTCGCGTACCAAAACCAGGTCACTGCGACCTTTATTTAACCTTGACCTTGATCATAATTCCCCTCTGCTCTATAACTCGGCCCCTAATTGACCTAGCACGAGCAAACTTGGTATACTTACACATCCTCGGGAGAAGGTGTGTTGCGTACCAAAATCAGGTCACTGCGACCTTTATTTGACCTTGACATTGAAATTAATCATATTTCCTTTCCGCTCTAGAACTCTGCCCCTAATTGACCTAGTGCAACCAGACTTGGTATACTTACACATCTGAGGCAGATGAGCTGTGTAACAAACCTTTGTCTTTGTGACTTATTTCACTTTACCTACCTTGTACGTCCTTACGGAAATGTTTCATTCATACTAGATCGCGGGGTATACATGTAGTTGGCGACAACTGCCATTTCTAGTTTTATAACATATCCCTAAACGAAATTCAAGGCCATATTTCCCCCCAATCCCCCATCAGTGCCAGCGGGGCTCCAATAGGACATAGGTGTCACGGTGCCCAACGACTGAGGTAGATTATTACCATAATACTTGTGGGAAACGTCAGCTGGCATAGGTGTGCAGTTGATGTCGGTGTGCTCATGTAATTTAATGAACTAAATTTCGGAGGAGATGGTCATGCAAAATCATTGCAAATCTCCATCGTATTGATATAGACAACCGTGTTCACAGTAAGAATGTCTAAAGCTGATAGGCCGGGAGCTAGGAGGGTCCACCGTGCACCCCCCCCCACAAACCTCCGTACCAATATTTTTCTGAAGCCCCATGACGCCCTGATCACGAAAATAAATGTTAACATTGCGTA